AATCTATTAAGCACGGTTGCCATCTCGACAAGATGTTGCATGTCCTTTGTTGAATTCGGCCGCTTCAACTCTTGCAAGGCTTTGATTTGGGAGGGATCCACCTCAATTCCTCGGTTGTTCACCAAGAAACCCAAAAACTTCCTGATTCGACGCCGAAAGTGCATTTAGACGCGCGCAACTTATGCTACTTCAGGATTGTGAACATCTCAGCTAGATGTTTCAGGTGATCAACCTCATTCTTGCTCTTGACCACCATGTCGTCAATGTATGCTTCCATTGTCTGGCCAAGTAGAGGGGGCGAACATCTTAGTGATCATTCTCTGGAAGGTGGCCCTAGCGTTCTTCAGCCTGAAGGGCATGACTTTATAGCAGAACAACCCCCTTGGAGTTGTGGAAGAAGTGATCTCTCGATCAGGATCATACAAGGCGATCTGGTGATAGTTGTGGTAAGCATCCAGGAAACTGAGCCTGTTGTGCCTGGCTGTAAGGTCCACAAGCTGGTCAATTCGAGGAAGTGAGAAGTTATCTTTGGGGCAAGCTCTGTTGACCGTCTTGTAGTCAATGCAGACCTGTCATTTTCCATTCTTTTTGGGCACAACTACCATGTTTGAAACCCATCGAGGGTAGTGCACCTCTTCGATCGCCCCTACTTCTAATAAATTTTTGACCTCTTCCACCACCACCTCGGCATGGTGAAGTGCTGATTGCCGTGTTCTTTGCACGACTAGCCGACATTTGGAAAGACATTGAGTTTGTGGCAAATGAAGTTTGGATCAACGCCAGACATGTCATAAGCCATCCATGCAAATGCTTCAATGTTGGCTACCAAAAAGTTCACGATCTCCGATTGCTCTTAGGCGGACAAAGATGACCCAAGCAGAAACAACTTTCTTGGATCGTTCTCATCGATTCTCACTTCCACCTGGTCTTCAACACCCTTATCTTCAGCTTTCTTGTCGGCATCGCACAAGACCTTCTAATCTTTTGGTCCTTCGATCATTTGTACAAAGCCCTTGGCTGCTCGACTTCCATTCACAGCCATGAAACATTGCTTGGCCATGACTTGATCACCCCACACTTTCTCTATCATCCCAATGGCATAATGGAACCTTATTACTTGGTGGTAAGTCAACGCCATTGCCTGCATTGCATGAAGCTATCCTCTGCCTAGGATCAAGTGATAAGTCGAGAGCACATTCAATACCCAAAACTCTACTTGCTTGGTGACAGATCCCGCTTTGATTGGTAGGATAATCTTCCCAACTAGCCATTTTGGCTACAAGTTAAAACAGGCCAGTGGCGAGGTTGCTAGGGCTAGGTCTTTGTCCTCCAATTTCAATTGTTTGAAGGTGTCATAGTACATTTTTTCGATCGAGCTACCTTGGTCAATCAAAATGCGTTTGATGTCGAAATGTTTGATGTTTAGCGTGATGACTAGTGCATCGTTGTGTGGGGTTTGGATTCGCTCTAGATCTTTGCTAAATAAAGTGATGACATCTGTGACTTTTACCTTGCGCCTTTCTACGGCAGACTGGACGGACAGAATTTTTCTCATGTGTTTAGCCTTCTTGATCATCACCTTAAGCTCGCATACCCGTGCCGGTTCGATGATCCCATGGATCACATTGATTACACCCTTGGGAGGGGCGTCCAGAGTGGTTAAGTTGTTAGGTTCAGCTTGGCCTTAAGCCACAACCTTAACGCCCCCGTCGATGTAGCAGTTCAAGTGCTTGGCTGACACCAATTCTTCTAGGTGCTTCTTTAAGGGCACGCAATCTTCCATACGATGTCCTCGCTCGTCATGGTAGATGTAGCGATATCATGGGTTAAAGCCTCTTTGGGCATCTTCCAGCTTAGTCGGCCACCAGACGTATGCCTCGTCACGGATCTCACCAACGACGCGATAGATTGGAATTTTGAAGACTATGGTGATGCCCATCTGGGCGTTCAGCTTTCTTTTAGCATCCTTCGCAGTGTTGTGGTGGTAGTTTTTCTGGTCAGAGTTACGGTTCTTGTTATTGCGATTGTTTCCACGGCTCTAGTCCTTTCCACGGTTGTCCGAATGGTTTTTTTCATGTCCAACCATGTGAACTTTGATCACAATTCTCTTATCCGCTACTGCTGGACTTGCCTTCATGGTAGTAACAGCTGCGTCATCCTCGAGTCAGATGTGTTCATTGATACATTGCATAAGCAACTCCATGGTTAAAGGTTGGTTCATGGTAAGCAAGTCTCTACGTCTAGACCGTGCTTGTATTGGGTGATTGCTAGGTTCACTGGGCAATCAAGAATCTCATTTAATGTTTCCCAATATTTGGATTTGTACGCCTTTAATGAGTCACCCGATTCTATCTTGATTCGTAAAAGATGGTCAACCTCCTTGGGAGTTTTGGTGTTTGTCTTGAATTGGGTAACAAATGCCTCCACCAATTGCTGCCACCTCTTGATACTCTCCTCTGGCAGCCTCTCAAACCACTTTAGGCCTAATTCACCTAAACTCGATGGGAAAATGAGGTACATCAATGCATCATTACATCGGTGGCCAGCCATCACCTGCCGGAAGGGGCTCTTTTGCATGTGTAGATCGGTTTTTCCGTTATAGAGCATGAATTTTGGCTGGTGAAAACTAGCGAGAAGTGGCGTGTTCTCTATCTCGAAGGAAAAAAAGGTGGCGCTCAGCCTCGCCAAGTCCCTATCTAGTGACTCGTGTGTAGCTAGTCGTGGTGGCGGCATTACGACCTCTTCGCTGGCATAACCTCTGTGGGTCAGTCGCTGCAATGCTAGCACCCTCTATGCCTCCTGCTGGCGCACTCGCTCTTCTAATATGTCCCTCAAATCCCCCAATTGATCAAAGTAAGAGTATCTTGACGTCGTTGATGGACACGAGGGCCTGTAGCTACTTTCTCGTGTACGGGACACCTCCGTTGGCGTGACGAAGTCGTTAGCTCTGAACCTTGTGGTGATGAAAAGTGACAATGTCGACCTCCTACTGTGACTGTCTGAATAGTGGGATTGGGTGCGCTTACTGTGGTTTCTTACTCCAGCAACGCCCTTTCTCTTCAGCTGGCGCTTCATTGCCTCTATCTTCGTCGCCATTTTTCTAATGATGGCGTCCTGGTCTCTCAGGTTGTTTTCTAGGTGCCAAGTATGTGATCCACGCCGTCGGTAGTGTCCTTTTAGGCTCAGAGAGCGCCCATAATTCCTTGCGTGTTTGTCTCGTGTGTCTCTAGAGGATCCCCATGTGGAGGTCTCCAAACCAGTCATTATCGAAACGGCAGGCAAGTCATCTCACTACTAGATTGACTTTGGCGTAATGACATCAATAATAGACTTCGGAACATTGTCGTTCGCCATAGTGATCAGATGAGCTTGGAGGTCAAGGTTTTGTCTGTTTAGATTAACACAGATGGCGCCAATTGTACGGAG